GCTATCTCTTCCTCTTTTTTATTGCAACCGTGACATCAAAGTTGGAAAGAGGCTCTAACAGTGCCATGGGGAAAAAAAACACAAGCTAAAAAAGGACATGTGTTTCAATACACAAAGAATTACCTCTGTACTCTTCGGTTACTACTTCAGGCTAGATAGTTCAGGTGGTCTGCAACCACATTTCAACCAATACTGGGTTACTATAGTGAATTTAGTTAAAATCAGACCTGATATTGCAGGACTGGTTATACCAAACTATAGAGCAATATATAATACAAGAAGAAAGTGGTAAACTATTCATGATATTTATTTATTACATTTCATTTATTTTGGGGAGGGAGCTGTCACATGGGAGGAAGTTGCTACTGGAATCTGGTGGACAGAGGGCAGGAATGCTAATAAATATCCTGCAATGTGGAGGGCAGTCGTTCAGAGCAAAGAATTTATTAGTGACACTTAGATGTGCCTTTTTCCTTGGAAATTACCGTGACCTACTGTGGCTATCAAAGGCCCATCTTTCAGTTCTTCTTTTTAAGAAAGATTGTTCCCAATAGCTACTGTCGATTTTTTTTTTTCTTTCACATATAATTGTTTTTAGCTTGATGTAGATAACTTTTTACTTCAAACATAAATAAAATACACAAAATACCCTTGAAGAAAGAGCATTTCAAGATGACCTTGTTTGGATACAACATTTAGGTGTAGTCTCATAAAACACACAGTATTTGGATTTGGGAGTTTTACTCATCTTCAGTTCTGTTGAAATGCTTTAAACCAAAAGCCGTGACCCAAATGCATTGAAGATAGTCTATGTGGAAGTCAGGAGAAACCAACACAGATGAACAGAATGAGGATTGTGAGGGACTTTTATTCAGATAGACTTCCTCACAGTATTGGACTCTTGCATGCAAAGTTTTCATATGACCAGCGGCATCATGCGGAGGTAAACCCTCTATTGGTTTGTGATGTTCACTGGGCACGTCTGCTGCCTTACTGCCTTACAGTTTGTCCTTTCGGCCTTCATTCACCTTCCTCATCGTAGTGGTAGCTTGGATATGACTGTTGCTTACTGCTTTCCAAATGTTTTTCAGATATGGCTTCTCATTGATACCAACAACTATTCTTCTGTCTTCATTTCGCAAATAAACAGATATATAATGAATTGGCAGTAAATCTAGGCCTGATATTCTGTATAATCTTCTCACTCTGGCATCTGTCCTCTTCAGTCCATCCGCACATAACAGTTTGCCCCATCTTTGCCCCTTTCCTGAATGCAGTTTTTTTTTTATTGCCAATTTGTTTTATATCTCTTTATATAAGAATCTGTTCCTTCTATAAATGCGTAATTGTAAAAGATGAGTCAGTTTACAGGTAAAAGCATAGCCTTGAGGAAGACATTTAGGGATAAAGATTTAAAAGTCACTATCTGAGATGTAATAGTAAATCTACTACTGCTTGCAATTACCATTTATTTACTTTTTCCCTTTTAGTTTCTGCTGCAAAGTTTAAGTCTGAACATTGTGGTTTTTGGGGTTGAGGGTGCTTACTGGTTCCTTATCCTGGATCGATCACTTGTCAGCCATGGAAATATTACTTCATCTACCCATGCCTCATTTCCCTATCTGTGAAATAGAAATGATGATAACGATATCATGGACCTCATTTTTTTTATTGAAAAAAAAATACATTAGATAATGAATGTAAAATGTATAGCATAGTCGCTACTGGAATGTAAGCACTAAGTAATTGTTGGCTATCGTTTTTCTTGTAGAAAGCATCCTGAAATGTAGTCATGTGAATTTTTTTCCACAAAAAGTTTTGATTTTGACAATAATTTATCTTTAAGGTCATATTAAAGAAATCTCAGTATGTGTATATCTAGTTTTCTAGTTCTCTGTCTACCTACGGTAAACTTCAGAAATCAATATTTATTGAGTAACTTCTACAGACTCTTATAGGCTTCATTATAGTGGTTCTCAACTGGGAATAGCTTTTCACAACCAGGATGTATTTGACAATGTATGGAGATGTTTTTCGTCATCACCACTGGGAAGTGTCACTGGCATTGAGTGAGTTGAGGCCAGCGATGCTACTAAACATCCTAGAATGCAAGACAGCCCCCAAACACAGAATCAGTCTCGAAAGGAAGAAGCATAAGACGTCATCACTGCTATCAGTTTACTTAGAAAATGCATATCAAATAGTACAAATGTCTTTAGAATGATACCTGTTAACACGGAAATAGGATTACAGTCATCTTGAGAACTGGTTGGATTCATGAGGAGGTGTCTAAATATGGGCAAAACTGTATGTTTAGATAAGTCACAGTGGCCTTGAAAAATATACCTTAAAACCCTCTGGTTTATAAAAACTTAATATAAAAATTAGATACCATATTTCCAACTATTTCCCATATTATTTCCTCAAGAACTTGTTGGTGTGCTACAAATTGTTTCTGTGTTTTTGTTGTTGTTGTTTTCTTTAAGTGAAGACTACATAGATATCTAGGGTAGGTATGCAGGTGTAAGTAGCACAAGTTGATAATGATGTTCCATTGCATTTCAAGTGGACATAATTAAATGGTATTTATTGATTAGTAAATTTTTAATGTATATTGAAATATTCCATTTTTACAATCATTTGAATTAACTGGTGTTAATATGACATGACTAATGTTAATGGCATTTGCATTTGGTCACACAATTATTTGTTCTTGTTTTCTTACTCAATATGAAACCACTTTCTTTTTGCCTGAACATTTTTCTTTGACAGTCTCAAACCTATGTATCAGAATAGCATTTTATGTTGGACTTTTTTGATCAATTTTTGGTAGAGATAGTTTTGTGTGGGGGTACGTGTGTGTGTGTGTGTGTGTGTGTGTGTGTGTGTTTAAGTTTCCACTTAAAGTTCAGTGCCAAAGCTACAATACTTATACATTTTCTAAATGTGTTTTAAGCAATAAGTTGTACAACATTTTTAGAACATGTGTTAAGCTATTTCTCTAAGAATGAAGCTCTTAACAAAACATAAGCACTCTGCATGAGATCTTAGCAGCAAAGTGCTTAAAAGATAAAGTAAGAATTGGTACCATGGGAAGAACACCAGCTGTAGAGCGCACAGGTCCATTATGAGAAGTATGGTAGTGGGTAGGGAGAAAATGATTTAATCAGGAGTAAAACCAATTTTATTATAAGGGCACGCAGGGGGTGTGGCACCATAGTGAGAGGGACATTTCAAAATATCTGACAGATTTCAACAATGTGAAAACCCCGTTCTTTAAAGTGACAGTAAACCCCATCAGGTCTCCCTTTTTGATGCTATTGTTAACAGTTGACTGTTTAAAGCTGGCCTGCTAAGATGCTGTCGTCCTATTTCAATAGTGTGTAGCCAAATAAAAGACTAATTGTTGAAATACAATCAATCAAAAATGATTGCAGGGCAGAAGGAAGGTCTCCTCTGCTGATTTTGTTGTGGATCAGATTATTGTATTATGATTGAGGTAGCAATGAAGACTGAAAAGGAAGGAAAAAAGAGCCCATCTGAAATACACAGATCCACCTTCATTCCTTCTCATTGCAAACGTCCTAGTGAGCAGGAGCATCACTTACTAGCCCTGGAAATAATAGTCTATTTAGGAAAAAAAAGAGATCTGATAAAGATTTCAGCTAATATTTTTTAAAGGACACAAACAGTATTAGCAAAACAACTCATGCAGAGATTCCCTACAGTGACAATTCTCAGCTTTTTTTTTTTTTTTTTTTTTTTTACATTTTTGGTACAATTTCTTCTCTGCATTGAAAAACTGGCACCAAGAGGGCATGTGAATCTGAGCCTAAGACACTGGTAAAGAAACAAAATTCCAGTGGACTAAATACCTGTTAAGTTCTTGCCAGGATACTCAGGTTATCTGAAATGATTAGCTTTAGTTTGTATTAAGCCCAAAATCCAACATCTTTTCCATATCGCATGTTTGGAAAGACAAATACTATGTATCAGCTGCAATGCTTTTGTGCCTGCATCCTTTTAGTAGTATGAAAGCATGTCCTTTTCAGACCCTATTATACCACTTCTTGGGGGAAAATGATTCCAGGCTTTCATATTGAGGGCAAAATGGAATAATAATAATAATAATAATTGCCCAACATCCCTGTATTTTTTTCTAAAAACTTCACATTGGCATTTATATTCTTTAATATTTAAATGTTTCAACTCGCTGAGGCTTCCCAAGCAAGCATTTCCGTTGCTTCTAAGAAGAGTTGGTAAGCACTTGTGGTTTATCTTCAGTGTGTTATCATTTTGACAGCTTTGCATAGCCGGCGTGGGCCAACAGGGGTCTGTCTAATATTGTTGCTGGGCACATTTTCCTCGATGAAATGGAAACTAAGAAAAAGATATTCTTGAAGCAGTAAGAAGGAATTAATATCCTTTCTCACTCAGTATTCTATTCCTTGCTGACTTTATATTCAGGGGGAAAAAAAGAAAAGGGAAAAAAAAAAAAAGTGTTACCCAGTATTCCCTTGTACATAGCAAGGCTAACACATGTAAAGCAATAACTCATTTTCTATCGCCATGCTTAGCATATGTCTCCTGTTGGCTCAGCAAGGCCTTTAGCCCGGTCCCTGGAGCCGGCCATCATTGGCAACTCTTAGCCCCTCGGCCTCAAAACCAAATAGCTTTGAATCACGTTGAGCTGTGATGCTAATTTTCATACCGATGCATTCTGGGAATAAATGTCTCTGACATTCTGTGTCAATGGCGCCGTCTCTTTGTGTCTCTTGCTTTTTTGTTAGCTGCATTCCTACAGATGGTATTCCATTGAAAATGTTCCCTTCCTACGGAAAAAGGGGAAGGAAAAAAAAAACATGCACAGCACCAAACCTCTAGGTGCAGAAGGCTGTTAACGGTTGCTGATGATAGTAGGCAAACATTAACATAATAATTAGTGTCTTGTAATTGTTTCATTAAAACCAGTTGTTCCATTTCTCCTCGTGTTTTCCCAGAAGAGAAGCTGAATTTGGACGACAGCCAGTGGGAGGACATCCACGTTGTCACCGGAGCACTGAAGATGTTTTTCCGGGAGCTGCCTGAGCCGCTCTTCCCTTACAGCTTCTTTGAGCAGTTTGTGGAAGCGATCAGTAAGTACCTCGCCCAGGAGCTCGGTGGGCCGAGCTGGCAGCCTGGAATTATTCAGGAAATGATAAGCATGGCGATCATAGCAATCCTGCAGATAATAATATCCCCAGTGCGCCACAACTTCTATTTTAGTGTTCGTGTTTTGATGGCTTATTTTTATTTCTGGCCCTGTGATATTATCTGAGGGTTTTTGTTTTTGTTGTTTGTTTTTTTTTGTTTTTTGTTTTGAGAAAAAAATAGGCATTGTGTTTAAGGTAGCCAATGTTCAACCAAGCCTCTTCAGATGAAAATAGCTTTTCATAAACTGTTGTAAAGAGGTCACCGTTGGCACCCAACCCCTTCCTTTATACTTTCAGAATTGCAGTGAATTTAATTGAGTACAAAGGGTTCTTGAAAAAGAACCTCAGTGCATTAAATATTACATTTCATAAAGAAGTGTTAAATCATCCACTGAGTCATCACCTTCTCTTCACTCATTCAACTTTCACCCACCGACACTGGTGAATAGTCAGCTCCAGTCTGCTTATGAGCAGTGTGAGGAGTAAATTAAGTAATGGCAAGTTTCTTCTGTTGAACTGGTGAGTTTGTGGGAGGCTGAGTTATATCACTTACTAGTCAACTGTCGTACACTCTATGGAACTTCCTTTTCTATTATTTTCTTATCCATAAAACACATACACACTTAAGTAAAAATGAAGGAAGGAAGGAAGGAATGCAATCCAAATGCAAGGAAACTTCTGCTATTGATTCTTAGAGAAGCGACTACTAGTTCATCCCTAAATTTAATAGCTTAGAGCACACTTCGTATAATTGTGACAGCTTGGGAAAAGTTTCCTGGCAAATAAGTTGATTCAAGGAGGAAAAAGAAAGAAGAAAGAAAGGTAAAATTAAAAAGCTTGCAAGCCTGGAAGGAGCTTAATTAACGTCCAAACAAGAAAAATCTGCAAGAAAAAAAATGCTCTACTTAGGAGGTCTGGTCTTGGCTGGCGGTGTGTGCTGTGTTCCCATTAGTGGGAGCGGGAATTTGGGGAGCCCATTTGGAGAACAGCCCCTCAATATGCCCTTTTATTCTGTTTAGTTTTTTTTTTGTTTGTTTTTTTTTAATTTCACACCAAAAAAAAGCTCTGGCAAAATGATATCAACAGGAATAAAGCAGAGTTTATTCTTCCAAATTATTCTTCCAAATTCTTTCTCTTGTTGCCTGCTCACGATTTCAGGTTGTGCTGCTCTGTGGTGGTGGTGGTGTTGAATATAGTAGCCCTGACTATGGGTTTTGAGGTGAGGCTGGACCTCTTATCTCCTGTCATAACATTTCATTTCATGAGCCCTCTGCTTCTCGAGAAAAACAGTATTTTATAGTTCCCAGGCTCTCTTAACTTAAAAGGAGGAATAAAGAAAAAATAAACAATCACACATTTCCATAACAGCTGATTCTGATATTCTGTCTTGGAACACACAAGCACGGGACATCATTCACAATTATAGGACCGTGTTCTGGTAGGAAATTGGAGAGACTTGCATTGGGGTACCTATCTCCAATCACGTATATTTAAAGAAGTCACATAAATTTCACATTATGGTTTCCTCACTTTTAAGTGAAGATTATCTTATTTGGAAACATATTTGTACACATGCTGATCTGAGGGCTGTGATACAGGATCCCCATTAGTGACGCTTCCCTGAGTTCACCTGATTTTAATGATATTAGGCAACCATTCCCTTAGCTTACACTTTATGGGAAACAGGCCCTCAGAAACCAGGTGAGGGTGTGTTCTTTGAATTTCCAGAAAGAGTAGGACCATTCCTGTACTAGTCTAGGATCAGGTCCAAACGGGGCAGGACTTCAGAAATGCTCGCATGGTCAGAACAAGGCAAAGTGGAGGTGGGAAGCATCTGTTGCCGGCACTTAAAAAATGGGTCATGGTGAGAATGAAAGAGACAGTGCTTAAGAAAGTTCTTTATAAATGCAAGGTGTTGCATAAATGTTAACAGCTTTATTGAAATCACTCTAGAAGTGAAGAGACGGGACAGTTTTCCTTCACTGCTCAAGCAAGGAGAACCAATTTGAGCAACCTTGCCTTACCTAACTCGAGACAGTGCTTAATGAATACATAAAACGAAGGGACTAACCAACAGGGTAATATGTCTGAGAAATATGTTGTGATGCTGGATGGAGGCATCTGTTCACTAACCATGTATTTTGGGATAACCCTGAAATTAGTTTTTCTGTTCTCAACTCAGCTCTAGGTGTAAGTCATTGAAATATTCTCAAGAAATGGGAGACCTTTCTCCAAATCCTTGGCAATGGTAAAACCATACCTGAGGAAGCACTGGTACCCCATTGTGCACCAAATGAGTAAAAAATATAAATGTAAAGCTATTACTGTTCACCCAGTCTCAGAGGGGTGCTGAGCTTAATCATCGCTCTCACTGCCTCTTGTAAAATCTGTACAGTCAGAAGCTCAACAGACCTGTCCACCAGTTCTTGGCTTTTATAAAAGGAATAAACCAGGACCCGACCAGATAAAGTAAATGACCATATATGTGGGCTATGAGCCTCTCTGGCCATTCTCACCCTTCTCTTCTGTGCTCTGTGCCGTCGGAAGCCTGACCTCAGCCAGCTGTTTTTCCTGTGTGCTCTGGAGGGCTATCTTCCTGCTACCACGGCTAGTGGAAGCCACAGTGGTAGATAGCCTGAGAAAGGAAAGAAACGGCCAGGCAGTTTATTAGTTTACTCTCCAGCCACTGTCCCTTGCCTACCCATCTGCCTTGGTTGGCTTCTGTACCTGACGATCTGTCTCCTCCATGGCCTGAGCGTGGGTGGACAGACCCAGTCTGGTTCCAGCTTCTGTCTTGTGATGTGGATCCTCCTCTTCTTCCCCTCCAGCCTGGTAGTGACTTCCTGTTGTTGTTGTTGTTTTTTATTTCTTCTCTCTTCTTTATTTAGCTTCTTCATTACTGGGTAACTTTTTCCCTGAGTCAAAATAATTTGCTCCATTGGTATAAATACTTCACGTGTTTTCTGTTCTTTGGTTTAAACACTAGCAGAACAACATGCCAGTCAATGTCACAGTTCATGTAGCTGTAATGTCATTTCCCTGTTCTCTCTCGCTGCCCCAAGCCCAGTTGGTGGAGGCTTAGCATTTTTATTTGGTCCCAAATTGAGAGATCTGTTACCATTTTATGACAGAGTTAAAAGGTGAATAGACCAAAGGAATTTTACATCCATCTGGAATGCTTTACCTCTGAGGAAGAAATTTTATTTCATGTATAAGCAATTAATGACTACTTGTGCTATTTGAATTACTGTTAATTTTTATTATATGTCTGAAAGTCATCATTACATATTCTAAGAAAAGAGGACAGAAGGCATTTACTTTTTAAAATAGTTTTTTGGACCCAAAACAAACATTATTATGATAAGAACCTGCAATTTCCATACTGATCCCTTGTCTGATGACATCCATTGGGGTAACAAAAACACTAGAGATTGTTTTATATTTCAGAATGCAAGTACCAGAGTTATTGATCTGAAATTCTATAGTTAAGGTCAATGCAACTGGGTCACCTGCAGGGTTATTTCATGGGGATTTAACCCACCGACTGCAATGACTAATTCCCTGGAATTGACTTGTGCTCAAGGCTTTATTAGTACTGTAAATGCGAACTTGGTACAAAAATACAGCTCTAGGGTTTTATGATAGGTAATGCAATCTGTGACTACAGGCCTGCAGGGGTCTGGACATTTCCAGTACATCTAAATCCTAGGAAATGTACTAAGTTTACCTCTATTCCCAGTTTCTGTCTGTCCTGGTAACTCTACAGATCCAAAAGAGAAACAAACAAAACAAAAAAGTGTCTTTTCTATTTTAATATCTGCATTTTTTTCCAAAATTTCTGGGAAATGGAAAGAGAGGAGAAAAACTGATTGCATTTTTTGTAGTTATCTCATTTTTTCCCTAAGAATACCAAAGCAGGAGATATTGGAGAAGTGGAAAAATTATGTGGAAAATAATTTCTAGCACATAAAGTTACTATGAGAATTAAATAAAATATTTTTCTTACTCTATATTAGATGCTCAATAAATGATTGAAAAGAAATTCATTTTTTAGAGCAGTAAAGCAAGTCACAAAATAGTTCCCAAGTTCATATGGCTCAAAAGATTAAACTCAGCATTCGGTTTCAGACTCTAAAACATAAGTACTTTCCATCCTCCTACACTGCCTCTCTGGGAATGTTTATCTAAAAGAAATCTTGCTGGAAGAATAACTAACTAGCTGTTGCCAAATATCTGGCTGTTATATTACCCTATGTAACACCTATATGTCCTCTATCATTCTGTAGAAAACAACAACCTTTTCTATTTTCTATTTTTTTTAAATCACGGTTAGACCTCAATTAAATGATCAGAAATTTTAGTTTTGAGGTTTTTAGGTTAGAAATAAGGTAGAACTTTCCAAGAGTGAGCAATGTTTCAATATTTACTACTAGATACTAAAAGCATCAATTCTTAAAATGTGAGCTTCTCTGAGTACATTTTTAACTCTCTGCTGTATTTTTTATAACCAATTTTTCACCCATAACCTTTTGAAATTCATTTAGACAGACACAGCATTGTTTTCCTACTTCGTGTGAGTAACTATTTTAAGTTTAAGTGTTTTTTGGTATTCTTTTTTTTTTTTTTTTAAGGTTTTCACTTGTATCAAATTACAACATGCAACAACCCAAATTTTACAGAGGAGTCTGTGATGGAGAGTGGTGAATTGGGGCTATCACTTCACATCCCCAGGCTTACTCATTGAACTCATTTTTATTTCTTCCAGTGGTTACCTTTATAACTCTGGATAATATCTCTACTTTTTGAATGATCAACTATGGATAATACCTAATATGAAATATTAATTTATTCACTCCACTTCCTGCAATATTTGGTAGTCATAAAATATATTTAGATGTTAAATAATACACATAAACCTGTTTCTTGTTTCATCAACAGTCAACAATAGCTCGTAACTGTCCTTTGTAAGATGAATGTGTTTTTCTTTCCACTCTTTCTTCTCCCTCTCTTTCTTTCACAATCATTAACTTCTTTAAATTTTAATGGTTGTTCTAAGTCTTCAGTGGTTTGACCAATTACAAAATTAATAAACAGCATTTATATTTACAATGTTTTTAGTCTGTAACTTTGCCTGTCCAAGTGGTTTCACAAAGATTTCTTCTCTAGAGTTGTCACAATCCTTATACTTCTCAAAAAATATTCCTCACCCAGTCAAATAGAATCTATTTTATTACACTCCAAAATATGTTTAAACTCTTGGCCACATTTGGTTCTCTTTGTAGTTGGATCATCATTTTCTTATATATATTTTCTATTTATTTTTTCTGTACTTTTTGATTGCTTTTCTTTTTCTTTGCTTTTTTCTCCCTTTGTAATGTCCTCACTCTTTTCTGACACTATTGCGCAGAGTCCTATTTTTCCCAGAATGCCTGTTTGCTAGAACCTTCTGTCTGTCTAAGTCATATTGAGTGGTTGCTTCCAGGAGAGCTTCAGGGTGTTCAGCCAGGGATTTCTTTCTGCTTTCCCAGTTGGAGACACTGTTTTCTAGAAGACACACGTATTAGTTTTCTTATTGCCACCATAAAAAATTGCCTGAAACTTAGTGGCTTAAAATATAGTGATTTATTACATTACAGCTCTATAGGACAGAGTCTGACGCGGTCTCACCGGGCTGGACACAAAGTGTCAGGAGGACTCCACTCCTACCCAGAGGCTCCAGAAGAATCCACTTCTGTGCTTTTCCAGCTCCCAGGGGCTGCCTGCGCCAGCGTTTCCCTTCCTCCACCTTCGCGGGCAGTAGCATGGCATCATGTCCCTCTGCCCCCTGCCAGTCATCCCTCCATCTGACTGCCTTTGGCCTTCATCTTCCATTTCTGAGGACCCTTGTGATTACACTGCCCCCCCCCACACACACACACACATAACCCAGGACACCGTTCCCACCTCAGGGTTCTTGACTTAATCATAAGAAATCTTTCACCATGTAAGATAACATATTCACTGCTCTGGGAATCAAGGCATGTAAATCTTTGTGGAGTCATTTTTCTTTCTACCCTGTGTTCCTCCCTCTCTTCATGTTCACAGGTAGCACCTGCTCCACGTCCATGTCACAAATGCTCCTAATCCATCACTGTTCACGTCCCTTCTCTCAAACCCAAGTGATCGACAGAGCTGACATGACCGTGAAACTATAGATTGATTAGTAGATGATAGAGAAGTGAAGAGAATTTACTTCATGCATTTACATACAAGATGTCATCTGTTATTTGTGAGGGATGGGCTTAAAAATTTGACTTAAGCCTGGACCAAAGCTCATTTATTCAAGGACTATCTGATCATTTCCTTTTGGTCAAGTTCTTCACTTTAGCTCTTTGGTGCTCATGACTGAACATGTGAGTTTGTAGTTGCTGAATTTTTGTATTCTGAATTTTCAAATTTGCCTCTTGTGTGCAAAAATAATTAATTTTCTTCCCACACCTGAGTAATGTTCAATATAGTTCCCATCAAGAGAATGCAATCAAAGTCGATTTCTTGATCAAAACAACCTTATTAATTATTTAATTACATGAATAATTAATTTTATATTAATATTAATTTCTTTGTCATGTTTTCCAGCTTCTCTTAAGAAAATATTGTATGTACTGTCTATTATATAAATCATGCTTACTGTATTCATGTGCATATACATGTATGTACATATGCATGTATCTATATAACAGATAAGGAAGAAATGATGAACTGAGAGAGTAATAATGTTATATACATGTCTTCAATTTAAAGGCTGTAGTCACATATACATTTGAAGACAATATATTTTTTAATGCCCAGACTTTGTAAACACTGATTAATTAAGCAGTAAAACCAATTGTGAGAAACAGTACCCATAACATTGACTCAGCGCCATTAAAATGCAGACTGTTAGTCACCAAAGTTAGAGCATACCCCATGCCTAGTTCTTAAATACAACTCATACATTTGTCATATATATGACATATATAAAATATCCTATATTCTGTCAGTCACACCATCCTCATATAAAAATGATTTAAATTAATGACATTGCCCAATGGCAGGAAGTATCAGTTGCATGTCCGAATGTTTCCCGCCATGGCCGTTAATGCCATTTCACCTTTAAAGTATACTTTCAATAAGTAATGCGGGGTGGTGGGGGCAGTCAAGTATATTCGCAAATATTTCCTTTACTCTTGACTTTCTCTTGCCCTTTGTTCAAACTATTTCTGATGCATCATCAACTCCATGATGACACTCTTTGGGAGAAAAGAAACAGAGCTTGCAAGGCACTTGACTACAAGCCATCGCTAAACGTTAAAGCATGATAGTAACAGATTGCCTTACAACTAGAAAGAGTAAAAAGCGGGGTTTGGAGGGTCACCACAAGGAAGCCAGAGATGTAAAGATAATGTAGCATAAAAATATCCTCCATGCACCATTTTAAGGAGGTTGAAATTAAAGTAAAGATAGATTTTACAAATATTCTCTTTCTACTAAAGTTTCCACTGCAAGCTAACGTTCTTACAGACTTGGCAGTTTTGTGTGTGTGTGTGGTTGATTTTTAATCAGTGTGTGTGTGTTTAGCAAACAAGAAATTTTATAGCTGATGCCTAGCTTGTCTCTTAACTCATTCTAAGTATATTCATAATTAAATTGTAAAAAAGGAGTAGTTGACTAGAGCCAAATGGCTTGCACAGGTGTCTTTTTGTAGGAATGCTCTAGTTGATAGATAATAAACAACTGGACCTCCATCTCCTGAATTTCGCTTAATGAAAAGTCCTTTATAAGTAACACTAGAAGGTGATTCTGAACTTGAATTGGTCCTTAACTCTGAAATGAATTGAGCGGTAAAAC